GAATCACCACTACATAAACACTCCCAGAATTTTCACTAACACATGCTCTACTTCGAATTTCACTGCTTATGAGCAATTGCATGTAGTTGCTGGGCTTGTATTTTTAAGCTTACAAGTATGAACTTCAAGAGGTTTAGAATATGAATTGCAATTGTAAGAATGATCCTCCCTCCTCAAAATTGGATTTTAAGTCCAATTTTCTCTCTAAACACTTCCTCAATGTTGTTCTAAATATAAGTATACCCCAGACCATTTTTCTCTACAACTCTGTTCTGTTGATATGATAGGCAGCAATAGTATGCTGTGAAATGGATAAGTGGATGGATCTCTTCTCCCCATTCTGATTTGTACTAGATTCTTAGACATTAGCTCAGATGATGGGGAAGGACACCTTCCATGCCTGCTTCCTTTGTGTAGCTTGCTACCTCCAAGTATACAACATAAGAAGTATTGAAGAAAAATGGTCTGGGGTATGCCTATATTTAGAACAACATTGAGGAAGTGTTTAGAGAGAAAATTGGACTTAAAATCCAATTTTGAGGAGGGAGGATCATTCTTACAATTGCAATTCATATTCTAAACCTCTTGAAGTTCATACTTGTAAGCTTAAAAATACAAGCCCAGCAACTACATGCAATTGCTCATAAGCAGTGAAATTCGAAGTAGAGCATGTGTTAGTGAAAATTCTGGGAGTGTTTATGTGGTGGTGATTCTTGATTTGCTTGTTTCCTAATGTTAAAAGTACATTTGCTCCTGAATAGAGATAATATCAAACATTGTGCATATTTCTTAATGCTTGCTTGATTTTGTTTGTCATTATAGCTGTCCCCAGGTAGTGGGTATTGTTTTGGAAAGGGTGGGGAACTGAGAGTCAGTAGTGCTGTGGGACTACTTTGCACTGGAGGGGTATGTATGTATACTTCAAACCCTGTAATAAAGAAGCTGCTTTTGAGTACATTTTGCCACCTCTTGTGATAACAGATTTTATTAGAAGCTACTTTCAATGTGATTGCTTGGCATGAATGTTGAGTTCTTGTAAAATGATGACATTTAGTATTTCACACAAACATTTGAAAAATAGGCTAATGGTTATTTAAAATCTTCTCTAATTTCACAATCACTCACAAAAACAGTTGGTCACTGGGCATGTATCTGAAATGACTTATGAACATTATCATCAAAATAGTTTCTTCATATCAAAATTCTCAAGACAATTGCTTCTACTTATTGCTTATCTATGTCTGAATATAGATATTATAAAGGCTTTTCAGCTGAAGTGCTGCATTATTGATCACATTTGTAACTTTGAGTTAATCCTATTTTTCTAAAAATGCCTAGGGTTGATGAAAGAACATTTATTTCACAATCTTACATGTTTTATTTATACTCTTGAATTGCCTTCTGCATTCAATAAGATATACAGTAGCAATTACAGAAATTGACCCCAATATAACCATTCACCCCATACACTTCTATTTAGGCACTAGGCATCCTAGTGATAAAAAGTCAAGAAGATGTGTTTAAGACAATTTCGTAAACTTGCTTTAAAATACTGGATTACATATTCCAATGATATGGTATGGCTCAGTTTTTATAGGGCATGTCAAATTTTTCAATTTTCTATTTGGAAACATTAAGGGTGCTCAAAAGTTGTGACATGCCTTTGGGATTATAAAAATATTTTGGTTACTTTAATATAATTTAGATGTGCTTGGTAAGTAACTATATAAATATCCCAACTTTTTAACATTTTGTTTGTTTCATAATGCAGTCTCATATACATTTATCACAAAATGTAAATAATATAGTTACTGTTATCAGCATACTTGTCACTAATGTCTACTCATGCTGAAAACGTCAAATATTTTGCCGGGATGTTGAATGCACATCCTTCCTTTTAAATTGCTACTATATATGTATTCCTTCTCTCTTTCCTCAATTTAATGAAAAGGAAATATGGATGGAAGCATCTTTATAAATATATTCAATTAAAATTATTTCAGATAAAGCAGGATTTATAATGGATACTAAACTGATCTTACTTGAACATTTTATCCTAGAAGCTTGGCAATTTGATTAGTTACTCTTAGACCTGAGTGCAGTACTAAATTGAATGTCCAAGAATTGTACTGCTGCAAAGAATTATTTGTATGTATTTCTCAAGATTTCTAAATTCTAGACCATGAATTTTATTACAACTATCAGTACCTTGATGAAAAAATATTCAAAATTGAGTATAGCTAACAGGTGAGCCCATAAGATCAAACACAAGAAATTTCAGTCATCATCTCCCAGGATCATCCTGGTTCTTTACACCAGAATGGTGTGCTTGTTCCTGTTTCCTCTGGTAGGATGTGCTTTACCTAACATCTTTCTCCTATCTGGTATGTGAAATGGGCACAGCTCTTAAACTTCTGTTTATTTTGTTGGTAATTAAAATTCAAAGGTTGCAATAAAGTCTAAAATGCTACTACTGTACCTGGCTATATAAAACAGAGATATGTCGATAGAGGATTCTACCCAGTCTCCCCTCCTTGGGAAATAGTCAAATATTAAAAGAAATAAACCTACTATTAAAGAAGATCTAATACATAAAACCCCATTTTTTATACATTCACACTTTGTTTTGCAAAATATATATGATGTGGTTAATTTGGATGAAACACAGCTCATACAACTAAACTAAGAATTCCCAAAGAAAATACAGCTGCTTCAGGTAGAAGATGCAAATTGTAAATGAAGCAGTCTTTGACCAGAATGTTTCAGGTAACAAGATGATAGTACAGAATAAATATTGTTAAGAATAGCCTAGAGCAAAATAAGACTTAGCTTTTAACTTGTTTGAGGCATTTTCATAAATTATTTTTTGACTTCAAGTCTCATTTCTCTAATTATTGTTTAGTTAACAAGTCTTCCCTTTCCCCTCCAAGGCCATGTGTTATACTCACTACAGAAACTAACTCTAAAGAAGCTATTTTATCACCACTCACCCATGCACTTTAAAGATGACAGAAAGGTAGAATGCTTGGAACTGAATCAAACTTTTGAACCCTAACCCTGCTTTTCAAACAGCACGATCTCCATATTTAAATAAATGAACTGAGAGAAGGAATCACCACTATTGGGGTATAGGGTTGATTATTTAGAGAATAGGAACATTCTTCTATGATTCATTACAATAGTATGAGACTAAATACAGATAATTGTGTTTTTGTGGTTCCTGCCTGGCAAAAGCTACAATTTTGCATGTAAAAATGAATATATCATCTCAGGGTTAGAAGTACTGGCAAATGTGTCTGCTTCAGGTGATTGTTTTTTTAGTAGAAGTGTAAGCAATGTGAATCACCCAGTTACCTAGTTGAGTTAGGCAGTGTAGAAATTTAATAAATAAAAATGTGTTTTAAAACATTATGGTATTTCTAAAGCTGATTGTTCTGGGTTAGTTTGGGCTACATGAAATCTATAACCACTAAGAAAAAAATGATACAGTTTTATATGTATTATAAACTCTCTGCCATATTTTAAGATAGGATTGCAAATTGACACACCCGCTATTTTTTATGATTTGTATGCAGAGAGATTTTCTAAGGGCTTGTATTTTGGTGGTTTTCTATCATATGATAGCAAAATAATTTCTTACATCCTTTCCAACATATTTCAAATCAGTTATCCATGCAGAGAACTGAAAGACAAAATGTGGACATCTTGCTCGGCATCAACTCCCTAATGCACAAACTGGTTGGAAAGAAACTGGAGACTATTCAAATCCCACTATTGATGTCCTAATTGAATACAAGGAATATATATTAGTCTTTGTAGGACAATTTGATGCATTTCAGAAATAGGCCTTATTGAACTGGATTAAATTTATTCTCAGGTAAGTGCCTAACATTGCAGGCCTAGTTTTTCTCCCTCTTCATTTAATTTTTCCATTTATATTTCTTATGAT